CCTGAGCCAGAGAGACAAAATGAAAATCCAGTTAGGTCCTTTTGGACCACCATGGCAGAAGAGGATGAACAAAGATTATTCACTGACAAAGTCAATAAGACATTTTCTGAGTGCCTGAACCTGATTAATAAGGTAGCATCTTGCCCTTGTAGTTGTGCAACATTTTACAATGTGCAAATCATCTTCATAAATATTCTCATTAAATTATATTATTCTTTTTGACCAAATAATGTCAATGATATTATGTTGACTTAGTTCTTTGAGATTGTTACCCTTTAATTAGCTTCGTTTTGCATTGAGTTCACTTAAATGTATCAGGGGATAATAGTATTTTTCCTTGAGTTATAAATATTGTATTCCTCTTATATGTTTTTATCAACCTTTTTTTCTTTTTTTTTTTTTTGGTACCGAGGATCGAACTCAGGACCTTGTGCTTGCAAGGCAGGCACTGGAACCACTGAGCTAAAATCCCCAGCCCCCTCTTATATGTTAATATCTAGAAAGCTGGGGTAGATATGTTTTCTATCTGGTATTTCTGTTTCTTGCATTTGCTCCATACTTTTACTAATTATTTTTTACTAAAGACTAGCAACAAAAAAAATATTACTATGAAGAATAATCATTATAGGGCCGGGGATATAGCACAGTGGTTCCAGCGCCTGCCTCACAAGCGCAAGGTCCCGAGTTCGATCTCCGGTACCAAAAAAGAAAGAATAATCATTATAGGGCCGGGGATTTAGCTCAGTGGTTCCACCGCTTGCCTCACAGGCTCAAGGACCCGAATTTGATCCCCGGTACCAAAAAAAACCATGTCACCAAGAATAATCATTATAGCTGGGGATGTAGCTCAGTGGCACCACACCTTCCTGGCAAGTGCAAGATCCTGAGTTCGATCCCCAGTACAAAAAAAAAAAAGAATAATCATTATCATCATTATCACAGTCCATCATAGATTCAAGTTAACTAAAATATTTTCAAACAAAATCCCATAAATCTAAGTATTGCACACTAATCTATTGCACCACTGGAGCACCCTAAATCCCATTAATTTAAATGAACGTTATGCTTGTCTTGCATTTATTATAGTTTTTCTATTAGAAATCCCCTGGAGTATATAATCAATTCTAGAATATTTCTTGCTAACTCTTTATTCTTCCTTTGGACACTCCCTGATGTCTAAAATCCATAGCAAGACTGAATTCAGGATGTGATTTCAAACCTTTCCCTACTTTTCATGAGCATCTTTAAAACTTGTGATTCTGAGGACCAGTAAAAATTATAATCAAGAAAACAGTAATTCTATTCTTATTTCTGCTGGCTGATTTTTTTTGATATTATGGATTTTTTTTCCCTACTGTTTAACTTATAACCCCTTCATAAACCATTGTAAATTCATTTTAACCTTAATATCAAAATTTAACAGACAATAAAGGAAAAATACTGTAGGTAATTCTTATCAACATTTGGTAGGAACAAAAATTCTAAAATATAAAAATGGAATCCCACAAGGTATAGGAGGATAAATATCAAAATCAAGTGAAGTGTCAGTAATTTTTTACTAATATATATCCGGATTAGTATTTCTTTTTTTGCTGCCTCATACTCATAGTTGATCTGCTGCTGCTTCTGCTATACCTCCTTCTGCTCCTATTCCTCCTCCTCTTCTGCCTCCTCCTCCTTTTTGGCTTATTAGCTATTCAAAATAAGTTTGAAGTTAGGATGACAGTAATCATTTTTATGAATAATCTATCAACTTCTTCTGTCTTTATTATTGGGGGTTTTTTTGTTGTTTCCTGATACTGGGGATTAAAGCCAACTTTCATGCTTAGCTACATCCTCAGCCCTTTTTATTCTTATTTTGAGACAGTCTTATTAAGTCACTAAATTGCCTAGGCTGAGCTTGAACTTTTGATCCTACTACCTCAGCTTTCCAGAGTGCTGGAATTACAGGTGTTTGCCACCATGCCCAGTTTACCAATATATATATATATTTTTTTTTTTGGTACCAGGGATCAAACTCAGAACCTTGTGCTTGTGAAGCAGGCAGCAGCACCACTGAGCTAAATCCCCAGTCCCAGTTTACCAATCTTGATTATAGTAAGATTATTAATTGTTCATAGTGCATAGTGTGGTGATACACACCTGTAATCCCAGCTCTCAGGAGGCTGAGGCAAGAGGATCTCCAGGAGTTCACGGCCAGCCTGGGCTACATACTGAGTTCAGGGCCACCCTGAACTACATGGCAAGACCTTGTCCCAAAAAATAAAACAAAACAAAAATTGTATATTTTATTTCTTGTTGGGCTGGGGATTTAGCTCAGTGGTTCCATCGCCTGCCTCACAAGCACAAGTTCCCAAGTTCTATCCCCAGTACCAAAAAAAAAGGTTTATTTTATTTTATTTCTTGTTATTTTAGGGATGCCCAAAAGAAGAAATAATGACCACACTGAATGACCTGATTAAAAATATTCCAGATGCTAAAAAACTTGTTAAATATTGGATATGTCTTATCCAAATTGAATCAATCACAAGTCCTATTGAAAATATTATCTCAATCTATGAGAAGGCTATTCTCGCAGGAGCTCAGGTAAGGCTAAAATTTACTGATCTCTATTATTACAGTGTAAATGACTCAGGATTATTTTGACTTTTTTTTTTTTTTTGGTACTGGCAGTAATCAAACTCAGCCTTGCACTTGCTAGGCAGGTGCTGTGCCACTTATCTACATCCCCAGACTCAGGATTATTTTGGAACACATCACAGTGTAACTTGATGAAATTGTTTTCATACATGTAGGAGTAATAAATGTTTAAAGACCACGATGGATCTGGGTGTGTAGCTCAATAGGGAAGCATGGAAACCTTCCTGGGTTCAATCTCCAGCACCAAATATAAATAAGGATTGCTTTATACATGTTGTTTCTCAACCTTTTAAAACTCACTCGTGTACTAGGGATCTTTAGATCTTAGAAAATAGATATAAGCCGATATAACTTTAATGAAACTTTCTGTGAGAGATATTTTAGTACATATGTCATTTTGTGCATTTCCCAATTGAGAAATTTACTGAAAAACTATAATTTTAGTATTTTGTTTATTGAATATAAAGCAAATAGAATAAAATTAATGTTTGAATGGCTTTGTGAGAGAACTCGTTCACTTTGGGAGTACATGAATGCCTCACGTTTACACTATGTAAATTGGTCTCACCCATATAAAGAAAATGACAGAAAACTAATTTCTTTAACATAACTGTATTACCTCCATAGTGGTTTGATGCCATACCTGTCACCTCTTCTAATTGGTTGATAGATAAATCTCTGTATAGAATAAATCATTTCTTGAGAGGTTCTTTTTGGTTGGTTGGTTGATTGGTTTGTCAGTTGGTTGATTTGGATTCACTTGGTTTTTTTGGTTTTTTGTTTTTTTTTTGGCACTGAGGATCGAACTCGGGTCCTTGCACTTGTGCAGCCGGCGGCGAAACCACTGAGCTAAATCCCCGGCCCCTTCAGCAGTTTTTGAACTACTCTTTTTAGCCTTTCTTTAAAAATGTCTATTAATATTAGTCTCACCACAGCAAATGTTATTAGACCTTTCACCTAAATCAAAAATCAAATATTAGCCTGTGTGAGGTCCTGGGTTTGATCCTCAAAAACAAAACAAGAAAACACAGCAGATATTCTGTCAGTGGCTCTTACGTGTAAAACATTTTCCTGAAGGGTAATTGTATTTGATAAAATCATACTTGGAAGCAAGTGTTGGGTCCCTTGTACACTGAACCAGAAGGGTCATTACTTAAAGCAGCTTATGGCAGTGTAGCAAGGACAGAAAACTGAAGCTACGGCTGGTTATATAAAGTAGTAATAGAAAGAGAAAGATGTGACACCAGAGCAGAAATTGGGAAACAGGAATCATAATTAGCCAAGAAAGTTGAAAGTACAATAGTAAATAATTCTAGCAATAAGCCCTGGAACTAAAACTATCAGTAAAAGCTTCCATTTCATATAACATATTGAATATGTTATATAGCAAGCATGGCAGCTCAAAGGTGCATAGTAAGGAACTGTAATATCTAATAAAGAGTAGACAATTTTTTTTGCAGTACCAGGGATGGAACTTGGGACCTTGCACTTGTGAGGCAGGCGGTGGCACCACTGAGCTAAATCCCAGCCCTAGACAATAAATTTTTGAATGAAATATGTTGGGCTGATCAGAGATGTATTTAATAGCATGTAAAACAAATTATAACCATGACTTCATTTAAGAGAAAAGGAGCTGTTAAACTTAATATAGTCAGTTGTTAAATAAATAATGTTAATTTTCCATCTATTCATTATTTTCTTCATATCAAGCAAGCAGCAATAATTACCAAAGGCTTACGAAAAACATTGAAGAAAATTTTAAACTATCTTTAACTTTATTGTTTTATTCTGTAAGTTGGAAATAAGATTGAAGAACATGAGAAGTATGACTTAAGAAGCATTGCCTTATTTTAAAATATGAAATTTTAATCACTGATTCTAATATTTTCAACTTGTAAAACCCAATTTCTGAAAATATAAAAATTTATGTGGATCTACTTTCTTCATTTAAATAAATTAAAGCCTATTGAAGAGATGCGACAGACAATTGTAGATATTATAACAATGAAGAATCAAGAAAAAAGTAATTGTGGTAAGTCTTAGTTTCTTTTGTTTCCTTGAAGTGAATTGTGATTTTATTGAATTTCTTTGCTGAATTAGTTTATTAAAATTTAAAATATGTAGATTATTTTCTTATGCTTCTGTAGATCTGCCTCTGAGATAAAGTGGCTTTCTGTATTATAAAGAATTTTTAATTAGGAGATCCAGTTTAAAACCCAAATTTGTCATTGAGTATCTATAAAAATTACTTACCTCTTGTCTCAAAAAGATGACCCAGGGGAATATATTGAAGATGTATGTGAGCTGATGTTATGAAAGATAGACGTAAAAATGTCATCAAAAGAGTCGAATTCCTTATAATTCTCACTACCTCTAGAGACATGTACAAGGATAAAACTAATATTTAAATCTAATTCAGTTTTTCTCTCATTTTTTTCCTAAATAGAAGTTGTTTTCTAGCAGGTAAAATGCTTATTAGCCTTTAGATGAAAAAAAGAAACTATAAACTTTTGGCTTTCTGAAATAAAAGATCAAAACAGAAAACCAGTCTTGCAAATCAAAGTTTTTGTAAACAGCAAGAGAATATTAAGTTTTAAAGGTAAGACAAATAATAGAGACATGTTCCACTTGCTTAGATGCCTCTCAGACATCTCAAACCCACATAACCGAAGTTGAGCACATGACTTTTTCATAAATTTGATCCTTCTTTTGACTTCTATTTTATTGAGTGGTGCTATCTGGTTAAGCAAGGCAGAAACTTGGGGTGATTTTTTACTCCCTCACTTTCCTGCCTCCCCACATCTGTTACCAGCCAACTAAATTCAGTTTAACTTCCTAACAGTCTCTAAAAAATCTGTCTTCTTGCCATCCTTACTCTGTACTATGGTCAAGATCATTTCTAACTTTTACTTAACTGTCACAGAAATGTGCTTAGTTTTCTGCCCCTTTCTTCTTGCTCCAGTGCAACCCATTCTTAACACTGCAGCCAAATTCTGTTATTCAGCTGCTTAAATTCATGACTCAAGCTTCTTTTCTTGTCACTTTGCATCTCTCCCACATCCCTGAATTTCTTTCTTTTTCTGGAGTGGGTTATAGTGTCGTTTCCTCCAGGACTCTCCAGACCAGTCTTCTACTTTTTAATAACTTAACTTCATACTTATCCTTTACACCTTAATTCCTCAAAGTAACCTCCTCAAATGCTTACCCTGATACTCCTTTCCTTCCTCTCATCCAACCTGGGTTAAATGCACCTGCTTTGTTCTCCCTATATTTTCCCCATACAATATTTGATGCATTTGATTATTTGTTTGTTTTATCTTTTAAACTATAAACTCGTAAGGACAGTGTCTGATCTACCTCACCATTGTATCATCAGTGCTGATGTAATGCTTGGCATATGTTAGGCACCTAAATATTTATTGAATTAATGGTTCCAAATTTCTTCTTTCCCCACTTCAAATGCCACTCACTAAAGAACCACAGCCACTTGTGCTACAAAAACATCTCTCAGTAAAAACTTCTAATGATTCTTCTAATAATTAAATCCAGAGATCTTTTCACCTCAGCAGATTTACCAGGATGTCTCCTTAAGAATTTAAAATCTAGCCCTGTGCAGTGGCACATGCATGTAATCTCATCTACTCAGGAGGCTAAGACAAGAGGATTGCAAAGTTCAAGGCCAGCCCGAGCAACTTAGTGAGACCCTGTTTCAAAATTTTAAAAAGGGGAGCTTGGGATATATAGCTCAGTGGTGAGTGTCCTTGAGTTCATGCCCAGAGTGGGTGTTAAATGTAACCCTTTGAACTGTGTTTTCCCTCACTTCTTTCCCATACCTATCATCGGGTACTCAGAAAAGAATGAAATAAAACTCTCCTCTGTAAAATACTCAGGATAAATATGGTTAGGAAATAGTAGTTTCTTTTATTTAAAAATTCAGCCAACCAGGAATAACTATAATGTCTTCTAATTTTGTTCTTAAAATTGTCCAAAAGCTTAAATGTATACATGTATTTTCTGTAGGAAAAAACATTGAAGATGCTGATAGAACCAAGGAACAAATCCAAGAAATCAGCATTGAGGATACAGGTGTTAATCTAGAGCCAGGAAAACCAGAAGTAGAAAATAAACGTATTAGAAATGTGGTATTTCAAGACTGTGAAAAACAGCAAGACGACAAAACAAAAGATCCACCTGACAGTTTTAAAACTCCTGATACAGAAAATAGATCAAGTTGCTTAATTAAATATAACATATCTACTACACCATATTTGCAAAGGTAAATGTTTATAATGTGAAGTACTGTGATTTGTTCTCATGCTTAGTGATTTTATTTACTTACTGATGTTAGAGATCAAACCTAGGTCTTCCTGCCTTCTGGGCAAAGGCTCTACCATTGAGCTACAGCCCCAGACCTCAATGATGTGTTTAAATCTTTATGATAGCTTCAGATTAGAACTATCATTTCTTAATATGGAAGTTGTCAAACAAATGAAATGTCACAGGGATATTTTAACCTTTTAAATACTGTATGGGCTTTGCTTTTCCCTAAATATTGACACTTTGACAAGGAAAACTTCTATATCTTTTTAATTTAATCTCTGTATATTAATAGAAGTAGTTTTAGAACTGAGGAATTAACCTGATTCTACAGATATTCAAGTATCTGCTGTGTACAAATTGGAAAAACAATAAATTCCTTATTACAAGGAGCTTGAGGTATTTCTCAGTTTTTCTAAGACAGTCATATGGCTGTAATATACAAGTTACAATACGATGAATAGCTTAAAAGTACAAAGTGAAAATATTAACATGTTTTTTAAATTTTCAGAATATTTTGGGTTTTTTTTTTTAGTATAAAAAAGAAGATCCAACTTGATGAAACAAATTCTGCATTTAAAGAGCTGAAGTTTCTAACACCAGTGAGACGTTCTCGACGTCTTCAAGAGAAAACTTCTAAATTGCCAGATATGTTAAAAGACCATTATCCTTGTGTGTCTTCACTGGAACAGTTATCAGAGTTAGGAGGTGAAACTGATGCTTTTGTATGCCGCCCTAATGTAGCACTGTGCCCTATATTCTCCGAGACTGATACCGCAGAGGAGAAATGAAATTCCAGAAGGGAGTGAGGGATTTTATTTTTCCTGGGGTGTTTTGTTGTGTGGCTTCATATTTCCCTTGAACCTGGAGTTGGCCAGGTACCTAAGTATTCATGGAAGTAAGATCCTATATTGACATTCATATCATAGGAGTTGTTCATCTATGTGTGGAAAGCTAATCCTATTAAGTCAATGTCAACAGACTGAGATTTTCTTTAAAATAAGTAAATTTTATCAGTTTGTCTACCATGTTCCTTAAATATGAATAGATTTGTTATAATGTTAACTTGTTCACTTTATTAAATGTCAGTACCATAATGATGCATCATCAGAAAATGAGGTGTTCTAGATAAAATTTATATTACATGGGCATCTTTCAAAAAATTATGATACAATTCCCTGCCTTTAAACAAAATACTGACAATTCTTCTTTTTTTACCTTGATTTGATTAGCATGAAAATCAAAATTTAGGGCTGAGAGCTAGGCATAGTGGAACATGCCTGTAATCCTAGCACTCAAAAGGCTGAGGCAGGAAAATTGTGAGTTCAAGGCCAGCCCGAGCTACTTAATGAGACCCAGTATCAAAAACAAAAAACCAAAAAATTTGGACAGGGAATAAATCTCAGTGATAAGAGTGCATGCTTAGCATGCCTGAGGTCCTATGTTCAATACCTAACATCAAACAAAAAAAAAGTAAAAAATTGTAATGTGTAGAGGTAATCCCTTAAGTATTAGAATATACAGGGTTTAGCTTACTTTTCCACCAAACTCATGTTATTCAGACTGCTGTGCTCTGCTGCATCCCTTGACCAGCCTATGGCTCTTCTGTCTCTTCCTCTGTGACAGTCTGTATCTATTGTTTTTGCCTCTGTCTCTTGATTATAACTGAGTTTGCAAAGGAAAGATAGTTAATTGGCTATAATTGGATACCCTATGTCTAACTGAGGTATTTCTTGAAGTGTAAGAGCAAAAAAAAAGGTGCCAAATTTAGTGGATAATAAAAACTTTACATCTAATCAGAGTTTTTTTGTTCTATTTTTTGCAGCTTGGTTGACAATGTTAAAATTTTAACTTTTGTGACTTCATTTGATAGTTTATAAACTATATTAGAGTTTGGGAATGAAATATGCATTTAATCATTGTAGTTTAGTTAGCATTTCTAAAATAACCAATATTTACACTTGCTTTCTTCTCCATAATATAAAACCTTCACTGTTAAATCATGTCCACTGGGACATGATTATGGCATACAGTAAAGTTTTCCCACAAATACCACCAATAAAATTGTTTTATAAGATTCAAACTAATACTTAAATGGCATGCATCCTCTATCAACTCTACAGTTTCAAATAAGTGAATACTAAAAGATCAGTTTAATAACTACATATGAAATACGAATCTAAAGAACACATACTTAGTCTTATGTTCATTCTGTTTATTAATTGTCTTCTCATTCTAAGAGTAGGACTTTTATTCCTAATATGTGTACCTAATATGTATACAATAAAAATATCTATACAGTGAAAAAAAAAAGAAAGCAGAACAAATAAAACAAGCACAGCACTTAATAAGAACACAAGAGAAAAAACTAACGACCCAGCACAAACAAGGCAAGCAACAAAACAACGAAACGAAATACCCAAACCACCGAAGAAAAAAAAAGAAAACAAACCTGTCAAACAAGAACAGCACAGAAAACAACGCCACCTCAAAAAACAAAACACAAAACAGAGAAATGCCGAGAAAAAAAAAAACACAAAAAAAAAATAACAAAACAGACGTAAAAGCCAAAACACCGCGAAACAAAGAAAGCAAGAAACCCCAAATAGCAAATACACACAGAAAAAGAAACCCAATAAAGGAAACACTACAACAACACAGAAAAAAAATACAAAACAACAACAACTTAAACAACGAAAGATATATTTAAACTCAAATATAATAGAGGAACAAAGCCAGACTAAACAGGCTCCAACGCATCACGACAGGGCAGAGGAGAAAAAGAGATTACAAGAGAAGCCGGAAGCAGACAAATCAAACGAGCAAGAGGAACACCCAGACACAAATCATGAAACCACAGAACCAGCGCAGACAAACAGAACCCACACAACACCAAGCCAGCAAGAAGCACGAACAAACCAAAAACCCTCCAAAAAACAAACAAATAAATAAAAAAAAAGTGCACAAACCTACACATAAAAGACAAAAAAAGCCGAATGAAGGCCAAGCAAGACAATACGAACCCAAACTCCACACAACGCACCAAAATCTTTAGAATACAAAGCAAACAGAAACAAAAGTAAACAAAAACAAAAGGTAAAGTGAAATGCACCCAACACAGCCCAGAAAAAATAAAAGTCACAAGACAAGGGAGGTAGCACAGACGGGCCGGAGCGGACACCGCAACCATAAAATCCCAAGAGCCAACACAGGTACAAAAAAAACACACACACACACACACACACACACACACACACCCCAGCCTCAATAAAGAACACAGCCCCATTGTCCACAATGCTGAGGTTGAAAAACCCTGAATTAGATTACTGTGTGCTCCTCTCCTTGTTAATGCTCTTGTGACTTCTTAGTCACTCTCTCCCTCTCATCCAATGAACTTTGCCTCCTGCTTTAGCAATTGATTCCTAGCCTACAATACAGACTTTGATAATGCCAAGAACTGCCCCTGGCCTCTTCACTATTCTGGCAGCTTATTTTCTCCCTTGCTCTGTTAATAGTTGTTGTTTGACTTTATCGAGACTTGTACTTCCCCACGTGCTCCCTTTCCCCACTGTGACCTTCTAGACAGGCACTAGAAACATATTGCTAGCTACTTATGTAATTTAGAATATTCTAGTAGCTATGGTTTGAAAAATAAAAGGAAACATAATTTTCATAATACATTTTATTTAACCCAATATATCTCAAATATTTCAGCATGTAATCAATGTAAAAAATTATTAGACCTAATTTATTTTTTTATTTGGCTGTTCAAAGTATTTGAAATCTTGTGTGTATTTTACACTTAAACTTCACATTTCTGTTCACACTAGCCACCTTGTAAAAGTGCTTAATAGCCACACTTGTCAAGTGGCTACATATTGGGTAGTACTAGTCTAGATATTATTTCCCATGTAGGGATATTTAGCCAAGGTACCAAGGTATATCACTTCAACCATATAGGTACCTTCACCTGTCATCATTTCAAGCAAACTTCTGTTTTATCTGCCTAATCTCCTATTTGGATTTATTCAAACTCTTCTGCTAGGGATGGAACCCAGGGCCTCAAGCATGCTAGGTAAGTGCTTTATCAGTGAGTCACTCCCCCAACCTCCCTCTCCCTATTCAAACTGTGAAGTCAGCTGCTTAACAAACTGTCAACCCTAAAGAGAAACTGAAACACAAACTGATTAAGAAACAGTTTATCTGGGCTGATCAGAACTGCAACTCAACTCTGATTGAAACCGCAGATTCAAGCAGATTTGAATATGTACCCCTGGTCCTGAAAATTTCAAACAAATTTTAAAGGAAAAAACCACAAGTGGAGAGATCGATTACATCAGTCGTTTGTCAAGAATTTTAGATTAGTGCAGGCAGGGTAACAAGCTGTCTTGTAAGAAAAGGATTGGGAGCTGGGCATGGGGGCACCTGCCTGTAATCATGCACCCAGGAACCTAAGGTAGGAGGTTCACAAGTTTGAGCCCAGCCTGGGCAATTGAGTGACTTAGACCCTATCTCCAAATTAAAAACTGCAAAGTCTGGGAATGTGTCTTAGTGGGAAGGCCCTGGGTTCAAGACCTACGTCACCACCACCACCCCCAAAAATATTTTTTTAAAGAAAAAGGAAAAATTTCTAATAGAGAAAGGATTGGGTAACAAAGAATATGCATAAAACAGTTCTCTAACAAGAAGAGTAAACAGAACAAGAAAAAAAATTGTTGAGAAAGGAAGGGAATTAGGGACAAAAAGACCCTGGGGGCCATTTATAGGTATAGTGAGAATTGTCGCCTGAACCCTAGGCCGGGAGTAGTAGTGCATGCCTGTAATCCCAGCACTCTGGAGCCTGAGGCAGGAGGATTACCAAGAATTTAAGGCCAGTTTGGGCTACCTAGTTGAAGATCACCCTGATCTACAGAGAGAACTTGTCTCAAAACAAAACAAAGCACCAAAAAAAGAGTAACTCTGTCTTGTAGTACACATATACCCCAGCAGCTAACTGTGCAGCAGGCCCCCAAACAGGTGCTGAGTCCATGTGCTGGAATATAGTGTAATGAGGTCATCCATCACTGTACTCAGACAACAAGTTTCCTGATAAGGATGGGATGGAAGCAGAGGATACACACAACTTTTCCCAAGGAGCCTTCTTGATTTTTATCTCTTTTGCTGTTTTGATTAGAGCTCTCCAAAACCTAGCCTAATATGAACAGGGGCATTGGTGACTTTGGTAGTGCTGCAGCCTGTAAGTTAACTGTTGTTTTGTAGTAAGCTTGTCTTAGATGTGCTTTTGTCTGTTGGATCCCTCTCAGTTTGGAGGCATATGTTTTTAAGTCACTTTGGAAATTGTACACAACATCTAGAGCCCAAACGAGGACCTGACAGAACCAAAGATGAGTCAAAGAGGAGCATCTGTGGGGGAAACCCCAGGGTGGCTATCCTCCTGTAGTACAGGTGCACACCTTCTAGATGAGTGTGGTCTACTGGATGAGTACAGGACACCCACGATTCTGCAACTTCTGAAGGGAGTCAGTATGGGATGGGATTGCAGGAGACCTGTAGCTGCTGTGGCAGAGCCCCTCTGTGGGCAGTAAGATCCACTACTGAGGCTGAATTGTCTGCCCAGCAGGAAATTGCTCACTTGAAGAAGGAACTCCCAACATGAAAAGGACAGTATCCTCCATTTTAGCTTCTGGTTTAGTAGGAACCTCAGTATATGGGAGGACAAGATGGAAATTCTAGCCTGTCATTTCTTACAGGGGATCTGGTGCACAGGTCTGCACTGTACTAGCCAATCCCACCTGGAACCCAGAGACCTGGAATTCATAGGAAGAGCCAGACAATACAGAGGAGGGCAAGGGCCGGGGATTTAGCTTGGTGGTTCCGCCACCTGCCACCCAAGGTCCCGAGTTCGATCCCCGGTACAAAAAAAAAAAAAAGAGGGCAAAATAGAAATGAAAGTGTTGATGGCACTTCCCAGTCCAACCATTAATACAAAGAAAGAGAATGCCCATGACTCAGCATGTGGATAGAGGCATTAATAATAGTCCTATTCAGAAAACTAGACACCAGGGAACTCCCTGCCTCCAAATTACTTGATTTTTTTTTTTTTTTGAGACAGGGTCTCACTACATAGTTCTAGCTGGTCTTGAACTCACTATGTAGCCCAGGCTGGCTTCAAGCTTATAGCAACCCTCCTGCCTCAGCCTCCCAAGTGCTGGGATTACAGGTGTGAGCCACCACACCTGGCTGTTGCTTCCAAACTATTTGAGTTAGGGAAAACTTTCAAGCAAGCAATAAAAGAATCTCTGACTGCTTGGCTTGTGAGGCTTCAGGATAATGGGGACAGATGGGCTCAACTTAAGCCCTATGGAGACAGAAAAGTTGAGGAACAGAACAACCTATCTCTCCCTGAGACTGAGGTTGCCCAAACTCCAGCAATTACGGATTATGGATTTGCTCATAGGGGCCATCGGGGACAACCGGATGTTCTCTGCTGAAGTCCCTGAAGGAGTACCAGGGAAATGAAGACTATTGAGGAGGGGCAGATGATGTTACAGAAGGCTATTTTTGATGCACAATTCACTGGGCCAGAGAGAATCATGTTTACCAAAGACCTGAGATGAAAGCGAATTCAATAGGGACCTAGGAATGGTATGGAGCGCTAGTGACCTTGTTAAATCCACAGTTAGGCATGAACTCAATGAAGTGGGAAAGGCCCTGGCAGATCTAAATGACTTGGAACACTACATGAACCAAGTGTACGAAGTATGAAAGAAACCAAAAGGGGACACTCAGGTGGAGAACCAATCGATAAAAGGCCCCATTCGGGTGACCAGGAACCAAATGCGGCAGGATTTGTGCCAAGCTAGGGTGCTGCTAGAACAGATTAATGGAAAGCCCAATTCCGTTTCGGTATTTTTATGGACGGCTATAAACCAGAACAACAGATTAGGGCTCTAAAACCAGAACAACAGCTCACTAAGAAAAGAAAAAAGGAGGAAATATAGGTGATGCCTTCAGCACCCCCTGTTGGGGAAGTGGAGTTGCATGGAGTGGGAACTTCTTCAGCTACTTGAGGGTAAGATTGCCTGCAAGTAAGAGCCACACAGGACAACTGGAGGCCCCATGTTGAACTGCAAATATGCTGGTCCTCTACTAATGTGCAAAACACATAGGTCCTGGTGGACACCAGTGCAAAGTACACCCTAATTCATGACAACCCCCACAAGCATAAAGGGCAATGGGCAGCTGTAGATGGATATGGAGGTAGAATAGTACTAGTACAGCTAGGTAACCCCCCATCAAGGAATACACTGTTT